TGGCCCGAATTTTCCTGTTAATTGCCAAATTCTCCAAGCCACAGCTTTTAGCGCACCATGATAGATTCAATCGCATTCAGATTTAGTATAGTGAGGAGAGAAAGGCGCTGAGGGTCGACCTCACTCTCTCCTCCACCGTCTAGCGACCGCCTAGCTACTCGGGCACCTATGGTGGGGCCTGAAACCCAGTGGGAGCGCTAACGCATGCACCGACCGGGAATCAGAACCGAGAGAAATGCCAGCGCCTACCAGGCCGCAGGGACCGTGGTTGGCCGAGGTCTGACATTGTATATGCATACAGACGTTCGGTCTCAGAAGGGTGAGAGCAGGTAGTCACAACCGCTTATGAACACACAATCTCCTGCAGTATTACTTTCAACGCAGTCAAGACTACAATCTTCAGGTCAGAAAGAAACTGTCTAGGTAACTCGTGCCCCAAAATGAGGTTTATTGCCTATTCCGTTAAGACAGAATGTGGCCTCAGCCTCGGTGACGTTCATTTTTACAGCGTGCAAACAACGAATCAATGTCGTCTTGCCAGTCGTCGCCACTGAACCAAAAATAGTACACTTGAGTGCTACCGTGTATTTTCTGAAAAGCACTCTTTGAGGTGCTGCATTTTCTAGTGGCATTCTATTTTTTTTCTGCACAAAAGTACGAAAACACAAGTCCTTACTTGGAGTGCATAATTTGCCACTTCTCTCTCAGAAGGTCACAAAAAGCGCCTGTATTCATAGCTTTCTAAGTTCGCTAAATATTCCCATTTTTTTTAACTTGAAAAGTTAATTTGTTAGACAAAGTATACTTTTCGGCAAATCATCTTCAGGGCCATAACATTGCAAACTAGAAAATTTGAACAGGTGCAAAAATAAATAATTTCAGCGTTATACGCCTATTGGCATTGCGGACTTTTCAGTCTGTGCTCAATGGTCGGCATGTTGGTTGGGCGACCGCTTCTTTTGGATTGGGTTGATATGAAATCGCCTTCTGGCGTCGGTTTCGGCAATGGGAGGGTCAGGGCTTGTGTAAGTGTCTTCTGGCAGCACAGTACTGGATTCAATTGCGTATAGCCACTGCTTCTGTTGTTGCCAGCAACCGTTGGCGTAGGCGCAACTGGCTTACTACCCAAACTGCATGGAACTTGGTTATCGAGTGATACTTCCAGCGTTCCGATCACATTTCAAAAAAAAGGCTACAATTACGATTCTATCCACAATGCTGAACTTAGTGGTCTTTTGGCGCCTACATCAGTATGGCGTGTTTGAGAGAGAGAGAGAGATCCGCTTTATTTTAAAAGTATTCGTCTAAAATTTTCAGCAAAAAGTATTCCATTCACTATGAATAAAATAAAGCACATGAACTAATTAACACCAGGAGATTGCAAACAATACATAATGGCTGGAAACTTCATTTGCAAAGGTCGCGAAGAATCGTTGTTGAATGAGCAGCAAATTTCCGACTTAAATTTACAAATGTAAGCAAAATGTGACTTACTTCAAAACAGTGCCCTAATGAACTCGTTATTATGGCTCAAATATACAAAGAGATTATGAAAATCAGTTTATAACGGGCGTTAAAGGCCAACTGATGTATACAGGAATGTACATGCAAATGCAGAGTAGAAAGAGTGCCGTCTCAGTTTCAAAAGCCTGCTTATTTGCTGTTGCGGTGCTCAACTCTCATCGACTGGACTATTTTTCGGGCTAAGCAGCGTATTGGAAACGCTGAAGTGGAATTGACAAAGACTAGGGAGACTGGAATGTCCGTTTCTGGGTTATTAGCCGTCATCAGCCAGTCATACTCAACCCTAGGTGTGGATCACCCTAAATTCAAACCCGCGGCCTTTAATCATTGAGTGCAATGCTCTACCACTGCACCAGGGGCAAGTCGATTTGTCGGTTCCGCTTCATCATATATTAAAAGTCGCTATGCGGGAGATGAGCCTAGCGCTGACTTTAATCAGCGTCACTTCCGACTCATATGAGTGTCAGTAATAGTACCAGTACTACTATTACTCAGCTTCACTGCCAGTTAATAGAAATAGAAGTGGCACTACCAGCTTTGGTCTCCTTGAGTCTGTCTCAACATCTGCTGAAGGTGAGGGAGGCTAGATAATGCTGTAGTACCAGCACAAAAGTCTACTGTCACTTAGAACTAAGTTAGGCGATGTTCTGTCCTGTATTGGAGCAAGCGGTCTACGCCTGATCCCGTTTGGCCATCTCGGCCCTGTCTTATCACCGGCCCAAGCGGGTTGAGGGTTCCGAAGGCAGTAGACGGTTGCGGGTCTACTTCAATGTAATATCGTTTCTGACTATAGCCACCCTTCCTGCTCCTGAGCAATTGGTGGATTTCATCGAGATCAATGGTCCAACTGTCATATTACAAGTCGCTATGCGACTGCTTGCAAGGGCTCTGTAGTGAGCTTCGGAACACAACAGAGCATCAATGTTCCTTAACCAGCTCGCTGAGCTCTCTACTTCCATCAAATTCCCTATGGCAATCGGCAAAAGCAACGAGCCCGAGGTGCAATGGTACAGTGTTGTGCTCCGTGATGAAAGTCCCGGGTTCGAGTCCCGAGTGATACACCTTTGGGATTGGCTGACGATGGCTACCAACCCAGAAACGGACATTCCGCCCCCCCCTGTCTGTGTCGTTTCCACTTCAACTTAGTCGGTATGTGACTGCCCGCGAGGGCTCTAGATCGAACTCCAAAGCACAACGAGGAGGAGGAGTATGTATCGT